ATCAATTGTTCTCAAGCATGAAAAGGACAGGAAAAAGCCCTCTTATTATGAAAGTGAATCTTGATAGAATGCCCGGTGATTACCACTGTATCTAGACTCAGAGTTGCCCCAGATACAGCTGTGACCACCGGATGTTCTATTCAACTGAAGGTGGTAGCCAATAATGTTTTACTGAATCCCCAAACCACTGGCCTTTCTCAGACAGGAACTAAACATCATCTGCATCTCAGGAGTTATTCTGACAAAGGCAATTTAAATTTTAAAATTTGAAGTAAATTTGGCCTCTCTGTTCTGACAAGGGGTGGCTATTCTGAGTGAGTGATCCCCTGTCACAACGAGCTTTGGTCTTCGCAGCGAGTTCTTCACTACGAGTAGTTGTTCATATATGCATCTGTTATTTATCTTAAATGAAAAAAAAAAAATGGTCAGAGAAAAAACAGGAAGCCCATTACAGCATCACAAAAAAAAAAAAAAAAAAAAAAAAAAAAAAAAAAAAAAAGAAGAAGAAAGAAAGAAAGAAAGAAAAGAAGCCACCTGATCTCCACGGCACATTTTGTTGTGGAGTTGAGAAATCCATAGAGTGGATTGAACTTATTAATTACACAAACAAGGGCAAATTATAGTGCTTCATCATCCGAGTCCTTCTGTGTCATAATGATTGCGATTCTCTATCAGAATGAATGCTGCTACTTTTGCTGCGCAGAAAGCAATTTCAAGTTCTACTACGGTAACCTAAGTACAGAAACAAAAAACCAAAAAAAAAAAAAAAAAAACTTGTCTAGCAGCTATCATCTACATGTATTTACAAAATAGTAAAATACATGAAAAGATTCAAATTTCAAACCCAGAATGCTGTCGGCGACAACTTCACAGCAGCTAGTAGCCTAGTACTACTCAGTACTCTATAACGAAAAAGCAAAGCAGAACTTGGCAATGCAAGCTGCAAGTTGAACTGTAAGAAGAAGAAGAAGAAGAAGAAGAAGAAGAAGAAGAAGAAGAAGAAGAAGAGCAAAGGCGCAAACCTTAAGTTAGGTTGTGCTATGGCGTGCTACACTAAAGGGTAAATGAAATCTACAATCGAGTTGAATCGACTCAATTCAAGTCAAACTGACATCAAACTCAAATCAAACTCAAATCAAACTCAAGTCAAACTCAAATCAAACTCTAGTCAAACTGCATCCCAGACCCCAGTCAAACTAGAGTCAAATTGGAATCAAACTGGAGTAAAACTGTAAAACTCAGTTTAGCTTGATTTTTGAGCCGGAGGTGAGTTAAGCGATAACGGAAGTATAAGGTTGTAATGGTACGAACAAAGTCATCATAATTCAAATCAATGAATTTTACGCATCCTTGGGTTTGGTGTCTGGGAAAACTCCCTCCTGGAAGTCGGGAGAGCAAAACTCGCCTCCGAGATCGTCGCACGCCTCACCAGGAAATACTCTGCAGACATACACAGAACAACAAGAAAATACATAGTACAGAATGGAAATCATCAGACAGAGAGATCGAAGGCAAGCATCCATTTTTATCTGCGTTTATTTCAAATCCCATGCAACACCCACATGCACACACAGACACACGACCCTGCACGGCGACCTCGTGAGTCCTTATCCACCAGTCAGTCAAATGCATCCTGGTCAGACCGTCTGTCCAGGTTCAATCTCCTCCTGATGTCCCTCTGAACGTCCAACGAAACAGTGGCACACTCATGCTTTTTTTTGTGGAGTTGTGTATAGCAAACATGACAACACACACACACACACACACACACACACACACAAACACACAAGCACACACACACACACACACACACAGAGCAAAGAAAAAAAAAAAAGAGGCACGCACGGATGCAATGCCAAACGATATACCCGGTTGTGCTTAATGGGGTCTGAATAACAGGATCGAGTTCAATGGGTTTGAATAAGAAAAATTGGGTTCCATGGGGGGTCTGACGATGAAAACCGGGCCCGAATTCCACCCACTGATATATCCAAGGGTTAATTACAAAAATATTGCTTTTTCCAAGTTTGGCAGCAAAAATGTTGTCCGTTCGAAGTTTCCTTTGCAAAAATAGAGGTTTCGTTGCAACTTTACCGGGAACCTGTAGTTTGCCAGCAAAAATGTTGCGTTTTGCCAA